TTCGAGCGTCTCGGAAGCCAAACGTTTCAGTTTTCGAACACCGAAAACCTGGAAGTAATTGCTTCCGTTTTCGAACGTGCCTCAGAAATCGAATGGCTGCATGTTTTTCAGTTTTTCCAGTTGAACTTGCAACCAGCCCTTTGTGCTTCGGTTTTCGAACAATTCAGAAGTCAAAACGGTCTTCTGGAATGGATTACGTTCGAGAACCGAGGTACCACTATATCGGAAAAGGATGTAGACATTCTCAGTATTGTGTGTAGACATTCTCAGTATTGTGAGATGCAGTGACTTGCATTTTCCTGCTGTGGTCTTCTCACTGCTGTCAAGAGAGAGAAAGAAAATGCTTTAAAAAGTTGTGGCAAGTGGGCCACTCTAAATTCCCCTTTTGGTTTTATCTTAATGTCGAAAACAACACTGGAAGCCAACACAGGCTAAGAATATTTTGCTAAAGGTTGTGTTTTTAGCACTGGCAGGAACAAAATCTGAACAGCTGACAATGATTCATGCAGTAATTGTTAAAACTACATGTGGTTGTGTGGAGGGTTTCAGAATAAGTTTGAATCACAATTGCTCTTAGGGCAGTGGAAAAGTATTTGGTCCAAATAACAGGAGAAACCAGTCTGTCCTGGACAACTTTTTGTTATGGAGCAGCAAACAATATTTTTTGTTAAAAACAGTTACCCATAGTTTACCTGTCATCAGGCCTACTTACCCATCACATGTAGCCTAAGGTAGGTATTGAGAGTCATAACCCAACTCCCTCCTCTAAAAAAGGATAATCTAATACAAATCAGTCAACAGTTTAGTGCACCATGATACTTGACAAAGAGCAAAACTATCAACCTCAATTAAAAAACCCCAAACTGAAGTCAAGGTATTTGCTGAAGCACATCCATTCACTTCTTTGGAGGAAGTGTCAATTTCACTTCTGGGAAAGAAACTTGCCTCACATAGAATGCAGAAGGATCAGAGAAATATTTCTTGGAAAATAAAACACAGATGTCTAGTTTTCTCTCCCCCCCCCCCTGGAAAAACAAACAAACAGCAGACGATCTTATGATTCACTACTTATGGCCCATTATCGCAATCACCTCAGCACTGTATGGGAAGAAAGTCTGCCCAGAAGGACTGCAGCAATTCACAGGCTATGGAAGATAGCTAAGCCCACCTGCAGGTCTGCTCACACTTAACCAGCTTTCATACACTGAATCATGTCGAACAGGTTACATATGGCAGCTAGATGAAAAAGCTTGCCCATGTTGGCTGCCAATCCATGCTAAGCAGATGATGCATACAGGCTTCAGATTTGGCACATTCATCTTTGGAGTGGCAGGAAAAAAGCTTAATTCTGTGCATGGTGATATGTGCCCACAACTGGGTCTCTCCCCTGATCACCAACCATGTGGTGAGGTGGCAAGGAGAAGAGGCCCTTATTCAACATGTGCAGTTCATGTTGGCTACTATTACTGATCTCGTTTGTTACACTGGCCATCTTCCAAGGAGCTCAAGGGAAAAGGCCCAGTATTATTCCCCTTTCACTCTCAGCAATTATGCGAGGTAGGTCAAGGTGACAAGCGGTGGACTTATTGGCTGAAGGAGGATTTGACTCTCCGGTCCAGCCAAATGCTCTAACCACTCCACCAAATTGGTTGGCTATGCCTATCTGTGCCTGAAAGCTGTGCTCCCAAGACGACTTCACATATACAGAGATTTAAGACTTTTCTCTTATTCAGCCTGTAAACAGAGTTTGGTGATCCGTGTTGTGAGTCTCCACCATTTTGGGGGGAGATGGAAGGTAATGGCAAAGGCAATCACAAACATTGCACGGGCTTCAATCAGGTTGTGGTTTCAGTGTGGTGTAGTGGTTAAGAGCGGTGGACTCGTAATCTGGGGAACCGGGTTCGCGTCTCTGCTCCTCCACACGCAGCTGCTGGGTGACCTTGGGCTAGTCACACTTCTTTGAAGTCTCTCAGCCCCACTCACCTCACAGAGTGTTTGTTGTGGGGGAGGAAGGGAAAAGAGAATGTTAGCCACTTTGAGACTCCTTAAAGGGAGTGAAAGGCGGGATATCAAATCCAAACTCCTCCTCCTCCTCCTCCTCCTCTTCTTCTTCTTCTAGTTTCTAGTTTCATTTCATTTCAGAATGGATGGCTCTGTAACAGATCACAGAGCAGCCCCGTCTCCACATCAGGGTCTTCCTGGAGAGAATCACCATGGGCCTGTAGTTGGAATTGCTGTGCCACCTCCTGGTACTCTGGCAAAGCCCATGTTATTTCCAGACACCTTTCCAGGAAAGCTCAAATTGTCAGATGCAGTGCGTTGTCCCCAAAGAAACCTAACCACCAGCAGCCTCAGGGGGAAAAACAAAACCCAGCCCTCTGCAAATTTCATTTAAGGAAAACACTCCCACCCCCTCCTTGCTGAGGCTCCAAGGAATTGAAAACATGTGCCAACTGACTAGGAATGAGTTCTATTAAATTATGATACAATTATGCAAAATGAGGAAAGCAGTCATATTACCTGCCCGCAGCTTTATGAAGCAATTAGAAACTCTCTAGTGAACTGGTTGTCAAATTGCAGACTTTCCATGGTGGAACCTCCCCTCTTGGGAGAAGTCTTTGGCCTGGGGTGTCACTGGCCCCTTGGAGCCTGCCACGTTAAAATGTTCTCAGAGGCTTCTGAGATGAAGTGTTTTGCTAAACGTGTATTAGATGCTGTGGCACACACTGTGCCGAAGAGAAGGTATGCTTCCTCTACCAGGACACTTTGGCAAAGAAACTCATGCAAAAGAAAATGGCAATTTTCTCCCCTCGTGTCCTAAAGAGGAGGTCAGCACATGCCATGTGATCTTAAAGGTCATTGGCTCAAAAACTGTAACACAAACTTTTATAAAAGGAGACAAAATGGGAAGGTAAGCATAGGCATATAGCAGCAGTTGGACTTGGGTTCAATTTCCCTCTTAGCCATGAGCTTGCTGGGCAGCCTTAGGCCAGTTTCCTCTGCATTGTGCCCAACTGTAAATTAGGACTAAATGGTCATCGACCTCTGAAGACTGCTGCCAGGAAAGAATGAGATTAATAATTGCAATTCAGGTTGCTTTCTCAAAATGCTTAAAAAGTTAGGAATGCTGATATAATGCTGGGATAGCTCAGCCAGTACAGCAGGAAACTCTTAAATCACAGCGTTGTGGATTCAAGCCCTGCGTTGGTCAAATAATTCCTGCATTGCAGGGGGTTGGACTAGATGACCCTCATGGTCCCTTCCAGCTATACAATCCTATGCTGAGTCAGTCCAGCTGAGTACCATTTTGCACAACGTAGCCTAAAATGCACACTGAAAAATACAGCAGTAACATGTTTAATGACTACATCAGTGTGTGAAATTATAAAGCTGATGGACAGAATAGTTAGCGTACCTCTCAACAATCCTACAGGAGCATGTCATATTTAGTGTGTGCTCCCTAGTTGTGTAGCCTGAAAATCCTCTCTAAGAAACCTGAACAAGTGTGTGTGTGTGTGTGTGTGTGTGTATATATATATATATATATCAGGGTTACAGCTAATAAGAGCCTGTCCTCAAGAATATTCACTGAAATGTTGCCTCTTAGTCCACTTCAGCCATTCTAATTGTGTGAATAAGATAGGTAAGGTGGCAGGATCTACCTGCTCTTTCAAAGAGCTTATAAGATGACTGGAAAGGAATTCCTGTCTGTGCTCAAAGGCTGCAAAAAGACTTAACCAGTCACATGACCTTTAAAATGCACACTGGAGGGCAGTTTTTATGGATGCAAGGATGTAACCAGCATTTACTAAATCCAGAATAACCAAGATGATCTTTCTGTCCAGATGTTTAGTCAAACCAGAGTAAACTGCAAAACCTAACTTTTGAGCAGAAGCCACAGGGCATTTCTTTCTTTGTCCCATTTGTGGCTTCTGTTCGTATTCGGTCCGAAATCCTCTAGCTGGTTCCATTTAGGGAAGAAACTCGACTATTGATACATGCACTTTTGTCCTTTCCTTCAGCAAATTCATCTCCTGCTTCTCCAGACATTCCTCCTGGATGAGTAATTTTCCCCTACCAAAAACCCTGGATAAACAAGTCTGGACTTGGATCTGAATTAGAGGCAGAGGTCTAAATTTGGTTCAAATTCACTGAGGTCAAAATCTCGTAAGTTAACACGCCAGCTCATTCAGGGCTGGGTCAGACATTTTGCTGCAAACCCAAATGTTTTGCCCCGGCGTCTGCTGCCACATTCCAGTGGAACCTGGGGGCAAGCACACTTCTTGCATCACACACAGCATAATGTTTGCCTGCCAAGTAACTGCTTTGGTTGTCTTGCCCCGTATGGTTGGGCTTGCCCTGTACTTGTATATTTCTGGTAGACTCCAGATTAAAAGATCAAGAGGAACAGGAGCAAGTTTTCACCCGGTCTTCATAAGCAACCTGTGTGCTTCACTCCCCAAAGATGCAGTGATGGGCCACCAACCTGGGTGTCTTAAAATGAGATTTCCACAAATTCATGGAGGATAAGGAGGTTAGAAGTGTATGTTCTGCATCTGCTGTTGCAGGTAGTATGCCTCTGAACATTAGTTGCTGGGAATTCCAAGTGGGGAGAGTCCTGTTTCACTCACGTACTGCTTGCCAGTTTCCCACAGGCATCAAGCTGGCCACCGTGAGAACAGGGGGCTGGACTAGATGGGTCTTTGACTTGGTCCAGCAAGGCTCTTCTTACATTCATTGGAAGGTTCAATCAATTTAAGGTCCTCACATGTGAAAACTTTCCCCCTTGACTGTTGTTAATGCAAAGTTGAACTCTCTATCATATTTTACCAATATAAACTTCTATTCGTTTTTGTGAGGCTTATGCAGCAAGCAAAGTGTGGGCTTTACTTTCAATGATCTGCTTAACCGTATTTGGAAAGTGGCACTATTCCACCTGATGAAAACCACTTGCTGGCAGAAATCATGGCAGAAAGAAAGAGAGAGAAAATGCGTCAAGGTTGGATGCAGAGCAAACACCTTTCATGTGAGAACAGCAACGACCGTGTGCCAGTTTGAAACTTTCTCTACATAACATCTATCACACAACGGGGCCTGCTGATCACCTGAATGTCCACCAGCATGGAGTGTTCTTACTGGCTGTTTGAGAATATACCGTCAGAGTTCACTGGTACAGGTTCCAAACTCCCATCCCTATTGCAGCACTGAAGTCTAACAGAAGGATTCTTTTCTGTGTTGACTAACACTAAAGGCAGCTGTGTTGGGATGACAGAACTCATTCAGTATCTTCTGTTGTTTTCTCCCTCATGTTTCTGAATATGCAGGAACCGTGGCCTATACAGGAAGACAACAAAACACAGCATTGAGCCCCATAGAGAGACCACAAGGGCTACAATGAAGAAGAAAATATCTCATGGCACAAACCTCTCTGGACTAGAATCCACTTCATCAGATACAGGAAGTGCTTATAGTACATTCATGGTATGCCTGAGTTATTTTGGTGGCAAGCTGGAGGTGACAAATGGTGTTCACCTTCAGTTACTTAGGCGTGATGCCCAAAATGCATTAGGACAGAAAGAGAACAGAGTTTTTTTCATGTGATTAATGGATTTCCAAACTGTTATTTCTTTTCCGAAATAACATGGCATGCATGCCATGGAAGGAGAAAAACATGTGGCTCAAACTTTTGTAGCAGAATATGTGTCAGCTGGAGAAGGGGTCTGCAACCTTTTTCAGCCGTGGGCCGGTCCAGTGTTCCTCGGACCATGTGGTGGGCCGGAGTATATATATATATATTTTTGGGGGGGGATGAACGAATTTCTGTGCCCCACAAATAACCCAGAGATGCATTTTAAATATAAGGACACATTCTACTCATGTAAAAACACGCTGATTCCCAGACCGTCCGCAGGCCGGACTGAGAAGGCGATTGGGCCGCATCCGGCCCCCGGGCCTTAGGTTGCCTACCCCTGAGCTGGAGCATCTTTCCACTGAGACTCACAGCATTCCAAGCAGGGGGCAACACTTGCCAGTGCTCATTACGCTTCTGTGAAACTACTCTAGTAGACAGTAGAACAAGAATGAATGTAAAACAAGCTCTTACTTTCCACAAAAGTCATTATGGGTGGCAGACACAAAGAGAAGCAAGTCGGGGTGACTGCACAGCCAGTTCTCCACCATCTCTGGGTGCCTGGGGTCAACTTCTAGAAACACACTCCTGAAAGCAGAGAAGCAAGAGAATGAGCCAACTTGATCAAAACTTCCTAATAGACAGGGCAATTCACATGATCAAATTGGCATGTTGAGAACGCGGGTTTAGTGGATCTGCACGGCGTTTTAAGCACACACTGAAGTGATTTGTGCAATTGCTCAAATACACTGAGCTTCCAAATGTTTTTGGCAGCTTTGAGGCTGCAAGTTGAGCATGGATTAAATTAAGAGCTGGGTGAATCGTGATGCAATCACACGCCCAGTTCAATTAGGTCATGATAGTTGGGAGCCTCAAGCTACCATACGGTGGTTCATAAAGTCCCATACAGACTAGTCCAATTGATGCAGGCTCCTCATCTGAATACTCACTTGTTATTTATGCACTTCAGTTCTTAACCTGACAGCATATAATTCAATAGTGATTGAGAAAGAACGCTATGACTCCTTTAAACTGAAGCAATCAATGGTGTTGAAGGAATGGTGGCGCAAGCAGTAGCAGATGGATTCTTTTGGTGGAGCAGGGGGTAAAAACCTGTTACTTGGGACCAGAAAATAGAATTCTATGAACCTAAGAACTGTTGGTGCTGAATCTGACCAATGGTATATTAAGTTCAACACACTATCTCCGAACAGGGGCCAAGAGCAAGCAAAGCAAGATTGAGAAAGACAGTGTCTGCTTTTGCCCTAAGCACTTAAAACTATATTCAGCAGCTATGGCTGATATTCAGTACTTTTGGGTGGGTGTGTAACACTCTGTGCTAGCCTGAAGCACATTCTTTTTTCCACCCAAAAAAGCACTGCTGGTGGACCTGCCTGCCCTCCCCCAAGTTGGAGGCTACCAGAATCTCTGGTTGCAATTAATCCTCTACGGCAGACACGTCCAACCTCAAGTTGCCTGCAATCTACCAACAAGTATCAAAAACTGGCAGTGATCTACCACCCTCCGTAGTCATTTCAGTTTATTAAATAAATAAATAAATAAATAAATAAATAAATAAATAACCTTTATTTCACAGATACAGAAGTTATGTTTGGATATCATTATGACAGATCCAAATAGTTACTAGATGGAGAAGTAACTAAACAAGTGAGAAAAGTCAAACTATATTTTTATATTAGTTTGCATGGATCTGAGGAGTCAGCTTCTCTCTCTCTCTCTCTCCTGTCAACGGGAGTCTCGCAGCTGATGGGGATCCCAATAGTGCCTCATGCCTCCCTCTGTGCTGCTCAGGTTGCATCGTTGTGGAGACTGGCAATGGCAGCGGTTGCTGCAGCATCTGAGGTTGCAGAGAAAGGCCCCACGACTGACCAGAGACAACCCGGCAGTCGACCGCGGACTCGCGATCGACGTGTTGTACATGGCTGCTCTACGGTATGCATATTGTGAAAAAGTATTTTCTTTCATTAGCCGTGAACCTACTGCCACTCATTGTCATGGAATCACCTGAATTCTAGTATTATGAAAGAATCCTGGGGGCATCATTCATACATGCCTAACAATCATAATCCCCTCCTTATCTGCCAAATCAGTTATTTGTTCATGCTGAGCATTAAGCATTAATCTGTCCTTGAGTGCAACAAGGGCTAGAACACACAGTATTTTATCTGTGTATTATTGCGTTTAATGCGTCCTTCTGCTGTTGTTAATTAGCAGTTGTGGTTGGGAAGGCATTCAGGATTGGGACCGCAGTGGAATGGAAGAGGGTTTTTTGTTTTTTAAGAAACAAACCAACCAGGAGAGAATTTCTCCAAGAAAAAACAAGCGCTTCGGGGAAATAATAGGATTTTCCTCAGGACAGTGAAAGGACAAGGCACTACAAACCTTTCCTCTTGCGCCAAGGGTCCAGATTCTCATTCCACCTCTGCTGTGGTTGCTGTTTAACAAGAACTAACCCAGATACATGAAATGCACGGCTGCAGTTAACATATCATGTAGTTTGGTTCCCAGAGGACATTTTCTATTTAGAGATTCAGGATTCCACACCTGTCACCAGAACTAATTATTTTCTGCTACTGGACTAGGAATCTTACAATCTAAGTTTCTAGTGCACCCTGATAGACATCTTAATTACTATACCCAAACCCATCCCTAATGATTCTCAGCTTGAACACAGCCAATGGCAGTTTTGCAGGCTAAATAATAAACTGATGGAGAATGAGCCAAACCCATCCAGTGAGTGCTTTCAGAGCTTTCCCACACGGAACATTCCCTCTGAATCAACCAGGCCCAGTCACACACACAAAATGAGCATGTGTGACCTTCAAAACGTTTTTCCTTCAATTCCTCCTCCACCTTTTTTGAGGGGGGAGTTAATAAATAACTAAAATAAAGGAAAAAACTCCACAGATTCTAGGAAACACTGGTTATGCTTTGAGGTTAACAATGTAAAATGATATTATAAACCCTGGAGTATGAGATGGCAAGATTTGTGCTCCAACTTTGTAGGAGGGATTTCAAGTTGCTTTTCTTTGGCTGTTAAATCATCAGTGCCTTTTTAAAACCCACAAGAATGTAGCAATATACGTGCTACCAGTTTTCACTTTCTCATGCTCCGGGAAAAATACTGCCACTCCAGCTCTCTCCCTCCCCATCCCAAGAAACTGCTGGAAAATATTTAACCACCTTCCAATTATCCGTCTAGGCTTAACAAACTTTGTTTATTATTAAACAAAATAAAAATACTAAGTTCTAAAAGACTTTAAACACTTTTCTCTCTTTTTGGTTAGTTCATTATTGAAGTCTGCTGGTTGAGGAATTCTCTATGCCCAGAGATGATCAACTTCTTCAATACAGTCACCACCACCATTACATCACTGCTAACCCTCCCCTTTGGTTAGAGTAAAAGGTAAAGGGACCCCTGACCATTAGTTCCAGTCGCGGATGACTCTGGGGTTGCGGCGCTCATCTCGCTTTACTGGCTAAGGGAGCTGGTGTACAGCTTCTGGATCATGTGGCCAGCAAGACTAAGCCGTTTCTGGCAAACCAGAGCAGCGCATGGAAACACCATTTACCTTCCTGCTGGAGCGGTACCTATTTATCTACTTGCACTTTGATGTGCTTTCGAACTGCTAGGTTGGCAGGAGCAGGGACCGAGCAACGGGAGCTCACCCCATCGCGGGGATTTGAACCGCCGACCTTTTGATCGGCAAGTCCTAGGCTCTGTGGTTTAACCTACAGCGCCACCCACATCCCTTTGGTTAGAGTACTCTGAGCCAATAAAGCAGCCTTTCCCTTAAGCTCAGACAGGGACAGCAGGGAAGGAGGTCCAGAACAAAGTTGACTTTGATCAGAACAATGTAGTGCCCAGTTTACCCAAAGTACAGTATATTCATCAGGAACAGCAAACACATATTAGATGCAGCATGCAAAAAGTAAATTAATTTAGAATGCATAAAATAAAATGAAAGCCCTTCCTAACACAATAATAAAGTGCATGTTACACAACAATCCAATGAGACCTAGTTACTGTAATAGTGATGAGAAGGATGGTAGCTCAGAGCAACTGCTTTGCATTCAGACGGACCCAGGTTCAATCCCCAGAAGTGACAATTTTGGCTGAAACCCCAGAGAACTTTTGACAGTCAGTGTAGAAAACACTGAGCTAGATGGATCAACTGTCTGACTCAGCATAAGGCAGCTTTCTATGTATGTTCTTATTGTGTAAAATTGGTATTTAAATAGTTCCCGACTTCTTGTTTCAGTACTATGTGGTCAAGGATTATTTCCCCCTTTTTTGCTTTTGTACTGAGCTTTCCTCTCTCGGCACCGTTCTTCATCTAGTGCTGTGCACTGGAAGGCCAAGGCAGGGCCCAGCTCAGAAGGGACATTACTCTCAGGAACCCTGCACTGAGAAGCACAGCCTAGGCGCTGTGCACCTGGGAGCTGCATGAGATTTCTAAGCTACCCCTCCACTTTCCAGCACTAAAGGGCAAGATAGCACAGGGGAGTGATGCAGAGGCCTCTGGGGTATTACTTCCTATAGTGCTGTGAAGACAAAGGGCTGGCTGGCTGACAAATGCTACCTCGCCCATCACTGCTGGTCCAAGTGGTACTGCCTGATGACACTTTTGACCTGTAAGGTGCCAGGAGTGTAGGTAAAGGAGGATTGGACCCTGCCACTAAGGGCTTTAGGCTAGTTAAGGGGGCACACACAGTTTCCCTCTCCCAGTAGGAAAACAGCCAAGGGAGCTGCCACTGCTGCCCACCTCCCAGCATTTGTCTGAGGCAAGTGCGTCACACTTACATAATGGTGGTGACAGACCTGGCATTGCTGCTGTTTAACGCAGATCAGATCTCTACATGTATTGTTCAATTCGCTTCCACTGGTGGCTGTTCCACTAACCATCCTTTGTACAGTGGTACCTCAGGTTAAGAACTTAATTCGTTCTGGAGGTTTGTTCTTAACCTGAAACTGTTCTTAACCTGAGGTACCACTTTAGCTAATGGGGTCTCCTGCTGCCGCCGCGCGATTTCTGTTCTCATCCTGAAGCAAAGTTCTTAACCCAAGGTACTATTTCTGGGTTAGCGGAATCTGTTACCTGAAGCGTCTGCAACCCGAAGCGTCTGTAACCCGAGGTACCACTGTAGTAGCTGTGCTCCACTGAGAGAGCACAGAGCTGACTGCCATACCCCAATTCTCCCTGATCTGGTACACTAAAAGTAACTGGAGGCACTGAGAGAACTCTCAGCCTCCAGAGAGGTGTCCCAAGTTTTCCACAACCACTACCCAGAAATATTATCTGACATTTTCAATTATTTGTGATTTGTGGGGTTTTCTTCAAGTGTTTTGAAATCCGCTGAAACATCGTAGTTGCGAAAGGAAACTGTGGGTTGTTTCCTAGGATTGAGTTCAAACTGGACTTGTAATAATCTGGCTAATGAAGCAAACATTAAAGAGATCTTTCTCACACTTGTTTATTACACATACTGTGGTTTCTCTCCTCCCAATCTATCTTAATGGAGATCTTCACCAGCAAAGCTACGTTTTCTGGTGGATGGGTGTGTTCTTAAAACTACAGAGCCACAAATTGGAACATCTCAGCCACAGCAGGGTATTTTGAGATGCAGCTGGCTGCTGGCCTTTAAGTTCCCAAATGAACTTCCCCAAATCATCGCAATATAATATCTTAGGATCACTTCCCAAGTGCCACCTAATATAACTTCCTCAACTCCAGTGATTCCTTCAACTATTTTTAAAATTATCTTTTTGTAACTCACTCACTCTCTCTCTCTCTCTCTCTCTCTCTCTCTCTCTCTCTCTCTCCATACCAGCTCAGGTGCCAAATAATAGATATAAGGTGCCGATATCTTTATGGTTTGTTGAAAATAACCAACGAACTAATGGCACAGGTAGGATGGTTGAATGGTTAGGCGGGGGGCTGTAGACCCCCACATGGGGGTTTAATTCCTCCTCCTTTCAGTAAAAGGGAGTCCCGTGGTGTTTCCACATCAAAATGCAAATTTGGAGGTGTACTTTAAAGGTGCTGGGCTAGGGCTTGGATTGAGTGGGGGTGCCCCTGTTTCACCCCTGCTGGCCTCTACCACCCACTGTCTGTGGAGTGAATGCTGGGCCTAGCTCCCCCTCCCACCCACCAAACATGTGGCCATGCCAAAGCGCTCCTGACAAGATCTGCACTGGTGGCAGAAAACCCCCTAAATGGCACTTTCCAGGTGCAGGGATGAGCCAGCCTAGCTGCTGTCATGGGATGACACCAGGCCTGATCTGGACCTGACTGCTGCTCCCGCTCCAGGCTGGCGTAGCAGTCTGTCTGCCTCCCCTCTCTTCTGCCCTGGTCACTGTGTGATTTTTAAGCAAGGGGAATAGGTAACAAGGGAGGATTTCTCACCTCAGTTGTGGAGTTTTTCTCAATCCCCAATCTATGAACCTGAGACAGAAAAGGAAGAGAACTGGGAAAGACGGAAACTGCTCTCATTTGCACACTCCTGTCATTCTCTTCCTCCAAATTATTTTAGCTGTGGTGGCAGATGGTGTACCTCAGGAAGTCTTATTCCCAGTTCCCTGCAACGAAGGTCCCTTATTGTTGGAAAAGAAGCAGTCCAGCATTAGCCAGAACTTACCTGCCATCCTTGAGGATGTATGAAGCCAATTTCAGAATCTGTTTTATTACACTCATCCCATCCTTTCCTCCATCCAGTGCACCAAGATCCTCATATCTAGAAACCAAAGACAAGGTCTAAAAACCCAAAGCATTACCCAGCTTTACACACAGCAGCAAAACAAACAAGGCCACCTGAAATATATGTTTGCTACTGACAGGCAGTGGCAGTTCTCCAAGGTTTCATTCAGGCAATATTTTTTCTGGCCCTTGTCAGGGATTCTTGTCAGGGATTGATTCTGGAACCTCCTGCATACAAATCACACGCTCTATCACTCAGCTATGGCCCATTCTTTCAAGGGAAATGGAAAAGGCCATGACACCTCAGAACCATGCCAGGGAGATGGGGAAGGGGTCCAGCAGCTGCTACCATCTCTTCAAAAAATGGCGAGAGCCCCTTTGAACTCAAAGATCTCCCCACATCATACCTAGACTGGCCTTTAGAATGCCAGCAGTCCTCATCAAAGAGCAAAGGGGGGGGGCAGAAATGTAGTGAGGAACAAAGAGGGGAGAGGTTTCTGGCTACCTGAGGATTTCTGCCGCCAACTGAGTCATGTCTTCATGGAAAATGTATGGTGGATTACTGATTATAATATCTATCAAACCCCAGGGCAGTAGGCATTCCCAGGAACCTACATTGAAGAAAGGATAAAAACAAATGTTAGGTTGACAGAAATGATAAATATCACCAAAATTAATGCTACTGAATATTTTTGATGCAACCAATGTATATATATTGTCAAAATAATTGATCTAAATATGATCTTAGCAACACAAATTGCAACTCAGTGGAAAACAGCTAAAAAACTTGCACTGGATGCTTGGTACTGCTCACTCTGGAATATAGCTATAAAGGAGAAAATCACATATAATTTGAGATTTCAGCAAGGACTAGAATCCCCGGACACTTTTTATACGGTTTGGCATTCCTTTATGACATATATAGCAGAACCATCATTTTCAAGACAAGCCTGGCAAATCTGGAACTAGAGTTGACAGTCCTAACTTGGGCTCTGTTATTTTTAAATCATGTGCAACTACTTATTCTATGTGCCTATTTTATAATTTTGTTTTTCACCATTTAATTTTTGTCTACATTATAGAACGAAATAAAAATTATAAAAAGCTTTACCAAAAAACAAAAGCAAAGCAAAACAAACTTTAGGTATAATAACAGGCTCAAAGGTAACTTGCGAAATTGTATTTGTTTATCCCTCCGGACCTGCCAGAATAACTAGCAGGTTGGTCTGGATCACATGTGTAATCCAGCCTTCATAAACCATGGTTCATAAATCAAGGGTGTCGAGCACTCCTCCCCTCCTCTGACAAAGAGAAGATGAAGGAGAAGTACTTGGCCCAGAGACTAAACAGCAGCTTATAAGGCCTACACTGATCATCTAAATGACACCACGGTCCCCTCGCCCAATAAAAAATAAATTAGAAAACCCTTCCAAACTTATAAACTGCAGAACAATGTTTAAGGGAACTGTATACTGTTAAAACAGTGGTGTGAAAAGCAGCAGTAGCGCTCTCCCAATAAGTGTGTCCTGCTTGTCAGGACTGGGCATGATGGTGGCAAGTTTGGGGGAAGCTACAGGTTGGTGGAAGCCTTGCAGAGGCCTCTACCACCAACTTGGAACTCCCTGACCTCACTGCCTTGCCCCTCTATTCCTAGCCATTGGGAGGGCACTGCTGCCGCTCTGCTCCCCGCATGGGCTGCTGCTGTACCTGGCCAGATTCTAAAGAACAACATATGAAGCTGTGGCAATTTTGGAATAAATAATACCTTAAGGGAGCTATAGCACCACAGGTTTCATAGCACTATATTGGGTGCTGAAACATGCCAATGGTTATATAATGGCAGCCTTATAACACAAAGTGTTTCCCAGCATCATGAATGCCAATGCCCTACAGTTCTCAAAAGCCAAATTCTGGTTACAGTGGTGCCTCGCAAGACGAAATTAATCCGTTCCGCGAGTCTCTTCGTCTTGCGGTTTTTTCGTCTTGCGAAGCACGGCTATTAGCGGCTTAGCGGCTATTAACGGCTTAGCGGCTATTAACGGCTTAGTGGCTTTAAGAAAAAGGAAACAAACTCGCAAGAACTCGCAAGATGTTTCGTCTTGCGAAGCAAGCCCATAGGGAAATTCGTCTTGCGGAACGACTCAAAAAACGGAAAACCCTTTCGTCTAGCGAGTTTTTCGTCTTGCGAGGCATTCGTCTTGCGGGGCACCACTTTATTTTTATGTCTATTCACATCCTGCCTTTTTCCCTGACAGGCACTCGTACCTGTTAAGTTTTAAAAATCTGGCAAAATGGCCGCTTCAGAATTTTGTGAAGACGTTTAAAGTGACATATTTGAAAAAGGGACTTTTTCTTCAGGGGAGGAAAAAGGTTACTGAAGTGCAGCCAGGTTTGCTTACCTCAGCATTCAAATTGTTTACAAAAATCAGCAAGCCACTGCTTTGCAAGTACTGTGCTGCCATATAAGGCCTCAGCTCAACACATTTAACTCATTCTTCAACTGAAAATAATAATATACAGTACAGGGCTATTTTTTTTTTTACAAAAGCTCATGATACATTTTAAAAAAGCAATAAATCAATAAAATAATTGAAAACAGAGAGCACTAAAAGGAATAAAAAGCAGAATACAAAATATGACGGAGGTAACTGGGCAAATTATTGATGCATTTTGGGTACCACATACTAATACAGTGTTGAATGTACAGAAATGGTGATTGGCAACTGTGTTCTGCAGATCACTTCTGACATGTGAGAATTAGCACTCCTGCATTTTAATACACAATGGCTCCTGTCTTTGACCTTCCCCTGGTACCAATTAACATGAGCAACTGCATATATGAAACTTACTTGAAGACACATCATGGTGAAGGATCTTTACCCTGTCCTGCAGATGTAACCTTTTAGAGAAGAGATCATACATGAGATACAGATCATCTTTTAATGTAACAATTGAAAGTGGCATTAAAACCCATCACATTCAATCTAATGAAGAAAACCATTGCAACAATCAACAGCACAGTTTTTCAGTCTGAAAACTGTGAAGTAATTATTATGGTTCTGTTTGGCACAAGCTCAAAAGCAAAAGAGAGAGATGTTATTAGTGTAACCATCAATTATGCAAAACTTTGATTAAGGAAGGAATTTTGCTCTCCTCACTGCAGTCCTCCTCTGTAGGAAGTCATTAGAAAACTAAAGACGATCAGTCTCCGTGGCTGGCAATTACCGTATTTTTCGCCCTATAGGACGCACTTTTTCCCCTCCAAAAATGAAGGGGGAATGTGTGTGCGTCCTATGGGGCGAATGCAGGCTTTCGCTGAAGCCTGGAGAGCGAGCCCCACAAGCTCGGGGGACAGCGGGGAGGTGGAATGCCGCCATTCCGCTGTCCCCCGACCTGGTTTGGAGGCTGGCGGCGGGGAGAAGCCCGCTTCTCCCTGCCGCCAGGCCCGCAAGCTCGGGGGACAGCGGGGAGGCGCAGCGCGTCATCCTGCTGTCTCCCGATGTGGTTTGGAGGCTGGCGGCGGGCTTCCCCCGCCCCCAGCCCCACAAGCTCCCAGAGCGATCGCTAAGCTGCGCGCAGCTTCGGGATCGCTCTGGGACCCGTTCTGGGGGAGGGGGAAGCTCGGGCTTTCCCCGCCCCCAGGCCCGCATGCTGCCAGAGCAGGCTTTGCACAGCTCTCCGCAAGCTGTGGGAACCCGGCGCGACTTCGCGCTGGCCTCCAACGGCTTGCGGAGAGCTGTCTGTTCTGGGGGCTGGGGTGGGGGAAGCTCAGACTCCCCCCCCCAGCCCCGTGCCTGGGAAAAAAATAATAATTTCCCCCCTTTATTCCTCCCCCCAAAATCTAGGTGCGTCCTATGGGCCGGTGCGTCCTATAGGGCGAAAAATACGGTACCTTCTTCCTCCCCATCTCCTTTCCAACATCATAATATACCGCTAAATCACCAAGTTTAGCTGGCGGTATATTATGATGTTAGAAAGCAGAAATCGCCACACCCTGGCTGCTGCTGATATGTTCAACACCACCATGTGTCTGCAACATTGCTTTAGTGGGGTTTGTATATATTGTATATATTGTTTATAGTGGGGCATAGCAGCGGTTGTGGAGAAGGTGGCCATGGGTTGAGGAAATGGCCTCACAGGCCAAATTAGGACCCCTGCCAGCCAAATTTAGCCACAGAAAGATTTCCCCACTGCTGTCATTGAAGATGGGTAAAACAGAAATGTGATCAAACAAAACGAAATTTTGCAGTTGTATAACATTCTGCAGAATAGTTATTACGTAAGTGGAAGCTGAGAAAACAGTTGCTTGACAAGTCCTTACGTGGGTAAGCAACAACAGTCGGTGGTGGAATTTAGGAATGAAAGGGATGCCAAGTCCCATGGCTCTGGCCATGTTTCTCAGTACAGGGATCATAAGCACATGGCAAATCCTGACTAGGAATAAAGGGTCCCCTAAAAAGAAAAGAAAATCCACCAGTCTGCAATCACATGCCTTTGGGAGATATGGGCGTGGGACTCATTAGCAGAGAATGGGTCTTACCCAAGATTTGCCCACAGGGGAGCACTAACATTATAACATGCCGCTTAAAAGGTGTAGCAAATGCACAACTGGCTTAGATGGGAAGATAACGTGGCTTAATATGGTAAAAATGAAAAGGTGAATTTGCAAAGCTCCATGTTTGCTTCCTACTCGCATCTCCTTATCAGATTCTCCAGCACTAGCAGATCGGGAGATAGTTCACCTGACATAACATCTAGAAGTCTGAAAATCCTGTGGCTGGTGCCTCTTTCACCAGCAGCCTGTAAGAAAAAAGCCACGTGTGGGAAACAGGTGGCTCTGCTCTGCTACAGGCAGCTCGTATCTACTCTGTGGGCTAATTTAGACCCACAAGATTCAGTGGTGGTGTTCATTTTCTCAGAGTAATTATCCCGAGACAATGAAATGTGTATGCAAACTAAGGACATGTGCTTTAGCCGCCTCAACTTATACTGCAAATCACCATTCCTCCCCAAAGTGAAAGTAGAGTAAACAGAGAACCAGGATGGGTGACTCTTTTTCAACTCATTTCTGGGTTGGCCTGATTTACCAGTTCAATGAACAAAAATGACTCAGAATCTGAAAACACCATTCCAAGACTATGCAAACAAATCTGTAGTCCTTTAGGACTCATTTAAAAGGTAAAGGTACCCCTGCCCGTACGGGCCAGTCTTGACAGACTCTGGGGTTGTGCGCCCATCTCACTCAAGAGGCCGGGGGCCAGCGCTGTCCGGAGACACTTCCGGGTCACGTGGCCAGCGTGACATCGCTGCTCTGGCGAGCCAGAGCCGCACACGGAAACGCCGTTTACCTTCCCGCTATAAAGCGGTCCCTATTTATCTACTTGCACCCGGGGGTGCTTTCGAACTGCTAGGTTGGCAGGCGCTGGGACCGAGCAACGGGAGCGCACCCCGCCGCGGGGATTCGAACCGCCGACCTTTCGATCGGCAAGCCCTAGGTGCTGAGGCTTTTACCCACAGCGCCACCCGCATCCCAGGACTCATTTACTCCACCAAATATTACTAATAGTCTTGGTTAGCAAAACTATTTGCAGAGGGCATATCTTTTCAAGAAATAGAGGAATAATCTACAATAGGATAAGAGTCCCTTTTGATAATTAACTCATCAACAGGCTGCAGTCCTCTCTACTACTGCAAGTGCTCCTGGATGACACTGGTTATTTGGATCCACTTCAGTCTTGGTTTAGGCCTGGTTTCGGGACCGAATCAGTCTTGGTCACCCTGATGGATGACCTGTATCGGGAAAGTGGCAGGGGAAGTGCAACCCTGTTACTCTTACTTGATCACTCAGCAGCTTTTGATATCGTTGAATATGGTCTCTTCCTAGATCAACTGTGTGGGATGCAGTTTGGAGGCACTGGACTACAGCGGTTCTGTTCCTACCTGCCCGGTCACCTGTCTAATTGCCCTCTTCAAGCATGCAAGTAGGGAAGCGATGGAGCAGAACCCTCCACTTGCCCTGTCTGGGGCAGATAAGAGCCCAAAAACATCTCGAATGCCACTGGCAACTACCACTGCTCTAGGAAATTGTGCAGACTGGGTCAGAGATAGAGGGCAAATGAATAGATGGTGGTGAGGAGCTGACAGGCCCCCAAGACTTGCACCAATAGCTGTGACATGCCTAGCTGGGCATATTCAATCTCAAGGATGAGAGAGAAAGCTGTCTCCATTACTGAAGCAGAGGGGCTGTGCTCTTCTCCAACCACTCACCCCTGATCTGATCCCTTGAATTTTCTTTTGTGAAGACTTGCAAATAATAGCCAAAGTGGGAAGGGCACCTTTGCAGAGGGCAAAAATGCTTGTGACTAGCTCAGCAATAATTGGAGCAGAATGTGGTGGCCTAAAAGAGGCCCAGCAGTCTAACTCAGAATATCGGAGGTTCCACCTGCAAGCTGCAATTTTCATGATCTTAAACTAAACTAATGCAACTGTCTCCTGCTCACATGTTAGTTGGTTCAACTTTCCCCCAACTCTGCTGCCATTCTGAACGGATTCCTCTCCCCCCCACCCCCACCAGCACAGCGGAAAAGTAGTCATGCTTGTTAATCAGAAATTCACAGGTATCAAAATACTCCTCCTATGAGATAGCTCTACTGTGTTGCACCCATTGTTATCTACTGATATTACAACACAATCTCTGAATTACTGTGTGAACATCCCAAATGGGTCTGGGTGCTACAGGAAGGGGAATACAGTAAAGTCTCTAGCTGTCAGAAGAGAACAAAGCCATAATTAAGAAAGGGTAACTCTTATGAAATAAAAAGAAGACATATGTTTATTGTTCATTTCTTCACTCTGTCACATAACCAACAGGTGATATGTAGTAATTAATTTAACTTGATCATGATGATAGAGCGAGCCCATGTCTTATATTGTAAATCTTGTTTATATTTAAAAACCTGGGTAAAATTAAACAATGTATGAATAAGAATAAGAATAAGAATTTGTATACTGCTCTTCATCCGAAGAGCACATGGTGGTTCACAACATAAAAATACAAAATGAGAACACAAAATACATAAATAAAACAAAACCAAACCAATAACCCACCTCCCACAATCAGATTTTTAGAATGATGATCAGCCAAAGGCCTGGTTATAGAGAAATGTTTTTGCCTGGCACCTAAAGATATGTAATGAAGGTACCAGGTGAGCCTCCCTGGGGAGAGCATTCCACAGAAGGGGAGCCACTGCAGAAAAGGCCTGGACCTCTCATGGAGGAGACACACAAAGAAGGGCCTTAAGGACGCCTCTCCCTGTATAAACCATGACAGATTCTGCATCCATCATCTGAGGCCCTTTTTCATGCACTAATTTCCCCCTCTGCGGAGGGGGAAAGGTGCTGAAAGCCTAAATTTCAACAGAAAGTAATCTGACCGTGACAAGGGGCTGATGTCAATACCATTCACTTTCAGATCACCCTTTTCCTGCTCAGTTGGACTCATAAGGTCCAGAGTGTGGCTTGCCTTATGTGTTGGTCTGATGACATGTTGGGACAGCTCCATGATAATCACGGCAGCAATGATGTCCTGAGCCAGTTGCCTTGGCACAAATGTTGAAGTCCTCCAAAACCAGCGGTCTTGGAAGTCCCCAACACCGCTTCCAAGACCAGTTCTGTCAGCTCAGGCAAGGAAACTCCTGGGCAATGGTGGTAAACTAGCAGAATCTCTAATCTGTCCTGACTGCCCAATGCCAGGAACTCAATTCTAGTCCCCCCAAACTGGACAGAGAGCCTGGAGAGAGAGAGAGAGAGAGTCACAGAGACAGAGACAGAGACAGAGAGAGAGGAGATTTCTATAGATGACAGCAACTTGCCCTCCCTGTCCCTCAAGTCTGCCCTGATGCTTGAGTACCCAGGTGGGCACAGCTGGGTGGGACGAACTCCATCCTGCTCACCCACCCAGGTCTCAGTGATACAGACCAGATCAGCCTCCTCATCCATGATCAGACCATGGATGAGAGGGGACTTACTCAAGAGAACCCCTGGCATTCATCAATAGAGTCAAGGGCTGACTGATAGGACAACTGCAACCTGCCAGGCTGGAGAAGGGGCTCGCACATGGTACAGCCACTAACAGCCTGTGGCATTTGCCCTTTACCTGGCCTGCCCTCCTACCCTGAATCACTGTGACTGGGGTCGCCCCTGTTATTCCCCGCTCTTCTCTTCCTAGGCATGTCTTACTCCCTTATTTTAAAAACAACGAAACCCCCAAATTTAAAAGGTAAAAACCAGTTTAAAACAATTTAAAACATTGTAAACAACTGGGGCAACACCAACAGCAACAAAATCCACTAAGCTATACCCCAACCCAAGAGTCTGTTCAGCTGCCTCAGCTTTTGTAGCTGGAGTCAGTCAGGGAGCAGGTTCTCACAGCCAAGATCTTAATCTTGTCTTATTTTTAAAAAAAATCTGATCGAGTTAATCCAGTAATTATTGGTTGGTTGTATGATAGTTGATTTAGTAATGCTTTCTAATATACAAGTGCAATAGCACTTGGAGAGTTACGGCAGAGTTGTTTACGCTGCATCCCACGGTTTTAAATCCTGACCATTAAAAATGTTTGTTTATACAACCCAGATGCTTTGTTTAAACTGCCTGAAATTAGGAACAGAGCACCAGTAAACTGACCAAATGTCAGACACATTGGTAAAGAAATAGAAAATGTTGGCTATTAGTATATACAGGGAGCATACTCTTACCTTGCTGCATTTTCCCTGGCGAGATTCACAGCAGCTTGTGATTTATCTGTGGCAATGACTCTGCTCTAAGAAAGAAAGGGAACAAGAACAACAGAAGCAAACATGAAATAATTTCTTGGGCACAGCTGGTAAAAAAAATGCCATTTGGAGCATCTGAGATGAGCAAGGCCAGTGTAATGCTTTGGAACCGAGCTCTTTCTAAGCCCCCATCTGCACTATACATTCAAAGCAGTTTCATACTACTTTTATATGGCTTCTCCCAAAGAATCCTGGGAAGTGTAGTTTATTGGGCATGCTGAGAGCTGGTAGGAGATCCCCTATTCCCCTCACAGAGCTACAATTCCAAGAGTTGCCTGCAAAGAGGGAATGGTTGTTAAACCACCCTGGGAATTCCTGAGCCAAGCCAGGTACGAGACTGCTGGTGCAAAAAATAAATGAATGAATGAATGAATGTGATGTTTGTTCTTGACTTATAGACCTCAGGTGGCAAACGTTTGGAGGCAGTGGCAGGTCTCTCAACATTATTGTCATAAATGAAAATTTCACTCACATGAGGCAGCTTCTTCAGAAGACTCAGAGCAATCGCCCCTGAGCCACAGCCAACCTCCAGGATCACAAGCCCATTGTTCTCTGGAGACAGCTGGGGATGCTTGCAGTTTGCTGAGGTCGATCGCTTCCTGCATTCTTCATCCACAATAAGGGAGACCAGTTCCTAGCAGGTAAGAAGCAGGTTCTGTGATGAGTCCACAGAAGTCTGACCCTAATTTATCAGTTTACTGTCCGAATACAGAGCTTTCTGTATGTTACTGTAAAATTAGCTGGTGTGTTGAGGCATGTACTGAACACAATATATTATATATTATAAAGCCAAGTGCTGTAAAAAGGGTCCTCGCTTATTTCTTTAAAAAGGATGCTGTAGTAAAGTTAGTTACAGATAGGTAGCCGTGTTGGTCTGCCATAGTCAAAACAAAACAAAAATTCCTTCCAGTAGCACCTTAAAGACCAACTAAGTTAGTTCTTGGTATGAGCTTTCGTGTGCATGCACACTTCTTCAGATAGTTAGTGTTTGCTTAGAAGCTGTTCTTTGGTCAGGCAACGAGAGTGAGGCCTTGTGGGAGACCAACAAGCCACAAGGACCATGGGAAATGAGTTTTGTCCCTTTAACCCCAGACCAGCAAGCTGCCAGGGTGTGAAAGGTTTATTATGGGAAAGGAAACCCCTGATTTAATGGAAGGTTTGACACCTGGGTCCTCAGTGATGTTATCTGCCCTTGATTGCCTGGGAATGTGCATCTGCATAGGCTCCAGGGAAAGGGAGGAAACCCCTTTGATTTAGGCTCTGGGTTCTTAATTGGTCCAGCTGCCAGAAGTTAGATTGATTAGCCCGCAAGCTGGTCATTGGAGAGTTTTGAAAATAATCAAGAGTTATTATTGGTTTTGGGGGTTCCGACGCCACGTGCAAATCGGGGATAAAAGGTCTTGGGAATGACTGAGAAAGTGCGCTCTGCAATCCGCAAATCGCCTGGCTGCTGATGCTCCACCTAAGTAGCTGTCCTTTCGTCCTTTGTGATGGAGAATTGCGAAAACCTCTGAATGCGGATCATTGAAAGGACTCTAACTATTCTATCTGTGTCTTAGTCGTGAGTATGTAAGTCAGTTAGATTTCACAATGTTCTTGTTTTCTTGCTTGCAACTTACTAAAGATGTGCCTGCTTTTTTAGCATGTTTCCTTATGTTCTTTTAAAATAAATTTTAAGAAAGAAACTGTTTTAGTTTGTGTGCCTTTCCGGGGGAAAAGCTAATTCCTAGCCTTACGCTTGGTTGTGCTCTACCGTAGAATTTCTGTCTGCAAGTCATAGAATCATAGAATCATAGAGTTGGAAGAGACCACAAGGGCCATCGAGTCCAACCCCCTGCCAAGCAGGAAACACCATCAGAGCACTCCTGACATATGGTTGTCAAGCCTCTGCTTAAAGACCTCCAAAGAAGGAGACTCCACCACACTCCTTGGCAGCAAATTCCACTGTCGAACAGCTCTTACTGTCAGGAAGTTCTTCCTAATGTTTAGGTGGAATCTTCTTTCTTGTAGTTTGGATCCATTGCTCCGTGTACGCTTGTCTGGAGCAGCAGAAAACAACCTTTCTCCCTCCTCTATGTGACATCCTTTTATATATTTGAACATGGCTATCATATCACCCCTTAACCTCCTCTTCTCCAGGCTAAACATGCCCAGCTCCCTTAGCCGTTCCTCATAAGGCATCGTTTCCAGGCCTTTGACCATTTTGGTTGCCCTCCTCTGGACACGTTCCAGTTTGTCAGTGTCCTTCTTGAATTGTGGTGCCCAGAACTGGACACAGTACTCCAGGTGAGGTCTGACCAGAGCAGAATACAGTGGCACTATTACTTCCCTTGATCTAGATGCTATGCTCCTATTGATGCAGCCCAGAATTGCATTGGCTTTTTTAGCTGCCGCGTCACACTGTTGGCTCATGTCAAGTTTGTGGTCAACCAAGACTCCTAGATCCTTTTCACATGTACTGCTCTCAAGCCAGGTGTCACCCATCTTGTATTTGTGCCTCTCATTTTTTTTGCCCAAGTGCAATACTTTACATTTCTCCCTGTTAAAATTCATCTTGTTTGCTTTTGCCCAGTTCTCTAATCTGTCAAGGTCGTTTTGAAGTGTGATCCTGTCCTCTGGGGTGTTAGCCACCCCTCCCAGTTTGGTGTCATCTGCAAATTTGATCAGGATGCCCTTGAGTCCATCATCCAAGTCGTTGATAAAGATGTTGAATAAGACCGGGCCCAAGACAGAACCCTGTGGCACCCCACTAGTCACTCTTCTCCAGGATGAAGAGGAACCATTGATGAGCACCCTTTGGGTTCGGTCAGTCAGCCAGTTACAAATCCACTGAGTGGTAGCATAGTCAAGACCGCATTTTACCAGCTTCTTTACAAGAATATCATGGGGCACCTTGTCAAATGCCTTGCTGAAATCAAGGTAGGCTACATCCACTGCGTTCCCTTCATCTACCAGGCTTGTAATTCTGTCAAAAAACGAGATCAGGTTAGTCTGACATGACTTATTTTTCAGAAATCCATGCTGACTGTTGGTGATCACAGCATTCCTTTCTAGGTGCTCACAGACTGTTTGCTTAATGATCTGCTCCAGAATCTTCCCTGGTATTGATGTCAGACTGACTGGGCGGTAATTATTTGGGTCCTCTCTTTTCCCCTTTTTGAAAATAGGGACAACATTTGCCCTCCTCCAGTCTGCCGGGACTTCGCCTGTTCTCCAGGAATTCTCAAAGATGACTGCCAGTGGTTCTGAGATCACATCTGCCAGTTCTTTTAATACTCTTGGATGCAGTTCATCTGGCCCTGGAGACTTGAATACATCTAAACTAGCCAAGTATTCTTGTACTATCTCCTTAGTTATTCTGGGCTGTGTTTCCTTTGCTGAATCATTTGCTCCAAATTCTTCAGGTCGGGCATTGTTTTCTTTATCGGAGAAGACTGAGGCAAAGAAGGCATTGAGGAGTTCAGCCCTTTCTGTGTCCCCTGTTTGCATTTCACCATCTTCTCCTCTGAGTGACCCCACTGTTTCTTTGTTCTTCCTTTTGCTACGAACATACCCATAAAAGCCTTTTTTGTTGCTTTTAACCTCTCTAGCAAGCCTGAGTTCATTCTGTGCTTTAGCTTTTCTGACTTTGTGTCTACACGTGCTGGCTATTTGTTTGAATTCCTCTTTGGTGGTTTCCCCCCTTTTCCATTTTTTGTACACATCCTTTTTTAATCTTAACTCAGTTAAAAGTTCTTTAGATAGCCACCCTGGCTTCTTTAAGCACCTTCCATGTTTCCGTCTCATTGGTATTGCCTGACGTTGTGCTTTTACTATCTCCCTCTTAACAAACTCCCAGCCATCATGAACTCCCTTTCCTTTTAGTATTACTGTCCATGGGATCTCACCCAGCACTTCCCTAAGTTTTATGAAGTCGGCTTTCTTAAAGTCAAGAAATTGAGTCCTAGTATGCTTGGCTGCTCCTTTCCGCTGTATAGTAAACTTCAGAAGAGCATGATCACTCGCGCCTAATGATCCTTCCACTTCTACCCCACTAACCAGGTCATCAACATTGGTTAGGACCAGATCTAAAATGGCTGTTCCTCTTGTTGCTTCTCCCACTTTCTGGACAATGAAGTTGTCTGCAAGGCCAGTGAGGAATCTGTTTGACCTTATGCTCTTGGCTGAGTTTGACATCCAACAAATATCCGGGTAATTGAAGTCCCCCATTACTACTATCTCCCTTCCTTTTGCATGCTTGGCCATCTGTTCCAGGAAGGCATCATCTATGTCCTCCGTTTGGCTTGGGGATCTATAGTAAACTCCCACAATGAGGTCTCTGTTATTCTTCTCTCCCTTAATTTTGACCCAAATGCTCTCACTTTGGCTTTGAGGTTCTAAATCTTGGATTTCTTCACAGGTATACACATCCCTGACATATAACGCCACTCCTCCTCCTTTCTTGTCTGGTCTGTTTCTCTGAAATAGATTGTATCCCCCCATTATTACATTCCAATCGTGGGACTTATCCCACCAGGTTTCAGTGATGCCTATTATGTCATATTTAGTTTGCTGTACCAAGAGCTCAAGCTCATCTTGTTTATTTCCCATGCTTTGCGCATTAGTGTACAGACATTGGAGTCCATTAATCATTCCCCCGTGTCTCTTATTTAAGGATTTTTTCCTCCCACCACTAGGTCTGCGTGCTGTTTGCTCCATTTGGTCTATGACGTTTGGATGATCATCTTCATCAATTGATAGACTCCTACCTTCAGGAGCACTGTCTCCCTCCCCCACATTAGTCAGTTTAAAGCCCTCCTGATGAGGTTTCTGAGATTTTTGGCAAAAACATTTCTCCCAACCGTTGTGAGGTGCAGCCCATCGCTTGCCAGAAGTCCATCTTCAAGAAACTGCAGTCCGTGATCTAAGAATCCAAACCGTTCCTGTTTACACCATTTGCGAAGCCAGCTGTTCACTTCCACTATTTTTCCCTCTCTCCCTGGGCCACGTCGTTCAACTGGGAGGACAGATGAGATGACAATTTGTGCATTTAGTTGCTTCAATTTCCTGCCGAGAGCCTCGTAGTCTCTTTTGATCTTCTGGAGGCTATTGCTTGCAGTGTCATTGGTTCCCACATGAACCAAGAGGAAGGGGTATTTGTCAGTGGGTTTTATGATTCCTTGCAGTCGTTCAGTTACATCTTGGATCTTAGCCCCGGGGAGACAGCACACTTCCCGAGACATCTTGTCAGGCCCACAGATCACTGCTTCTGTTCCCCTCAGTAGGGAATCCCCTATCACCACTACACGCCTCCTCTTAGGTTTGGTCGGGGTTCTTCCGTGAGCTGTCCGTTCCAAGATCGCCTGCACATTCCCTGAGGACTGACTTTGCTGCTCGTCTTCATATACCTGATCGACTGTAATGAGGGAGAGATCCTCAAATGGAGTCTGCTCTTCGTCTTCCATGTTAGGGGAGAGGACCTCAAAGCGATTGTGTATTTCTAAACAATCAGAGCGAACCCTGGGCCTCCTACTTCTTTGAGTCACGTTTCTCCATATATCTGGCTCCTGTGTTGGTGAACTAGCCTCCTTCTCAGGGGAGTCCCCTGTCTCCTCCTTGGTGGAGACGGTGTGCTCTGTTGCTTCCAAGAAGAGC